TTATTATGTACTAGCTCAATCCCCGTTCTTCTTATAGGGTGGAAAAATAAGCATCAAATAATCAGTACTGAGCAACACTAAAAAATCGTGCGCAAAACGTTGTTTTTTATTCGTTTATTACTATTTAATGCCCTTCTCGGAGGCTTTATGTTATTAGATTGACCGAAACATATTTAAATGGTAAATCCATTTTAAGAGATATAAAATAGCCAAGGTTATTTGAAGAACGATTTAGAGATATGAAGAACACACAAAATACGAACTACTTATCTTATAAGCATGGAAACCTGATCGAAAGAGCATGCCATCTCAAAAGCATAATTGGTAAATGACAAAACATGAAGATAAAACATTAAGATTTACTTCTAAATCAGTTATTTCAACTATACAAAATTAAATAACGATGGCATTTTATTTTATTTTATTTATTCATGCGGTGGAGGATGATGGAATCATTTAATCTATTATAATAATTGTGTTTAGNAAGACATGACTTGAAAGTCACTGGAATGTTCCTCGAACCAATCCATGACGATTCGACCCTAATGACATGGTGCATTATCCTGTTGGTAAACACCATCCCCCGCAGGAAAAACTGTTGCCATGAATGGGTGAACTATGTTCAAGTAGCTTACAGACGTCAGGGATAGCTCTATGAGGATTATGGATCCTAATGTGCCCCATGAAAACATCGTTCCTGGACGAGAAACCATGAAAACCTGGGCGAGCCCATTGTTATAGATGGAGGGTGGTCATAATGTAATGGCTCTTCGGTGTATATTACTTACTCCCTTCAAAATAAAAATACAGTTGTAAATTGCTAAAATACCATGTAGTTTTGTGTTTATTGTTTTTTAGAACTAATTGCAAACTGCTTCAAAACCATAAAAGTAAAAAAAACGCTTTTAACCGTAAGCTTTAGTGTTAATTGGATGGACTGACTGCTGCCGGTTATTTTACGAACATTTTAGAATGCAATTTCTAACTGAGTACGATCAAGCTACTTTCTCTAGAACTTATATATCTGTCATAAAAATGTACAATATTTTTACAAATTTTGTCTTGGGTTCATAAATATCTATCATGAAATTGTACAATATTTGTGCAGCTGTAATTGACACAAAATAATAAAATATTTTTTTATCAATATAAGATTAGATTTAGTAAGTATTAGAACTACACAAAATACCACGATGACACTCCTGCCTTTTACCAAAATTAAACATCATTGGTGCCATTAACAATATGACGACTTTTTACCATTCCCCGCAATGAATAAGTACATTTTCTTCATTAATTTTCCTTTTTAGTTTGCAGTTTATTTTCTATTTCAATTAAAACCAATTACCGAAATTAATTGCGCATCATTATCGTCAACAAAAAATTGCCGATTTCTTACGCCCTCTTGAATGAATTTGAAAAATTTAGCCATTTTCTTTGCTTTTTAGTGAATAGCTTATTATTTTACTTCAGTAAGTAAAAAAAACTACTCTGTAGTCAGTATTAGCGTTTCTTTTTTATAATTATCCTTAACGAATTAGTTCAATTTCTGTTTGTTGATTCTGTGTTATTCCATTAATCGATGCGTTCCATCGACTGTGGAATAAATCGAATAAGAACTGAAATTTGATGGGAAAAAAAAGTAAAAACTTGACTTTCGTCAAATGTTTATTTAAATATCTGACTCAATTAAAAATAAATTAGCATATGATTTAAAAAGAAACATTGGGTTCTAAAATTAAAACAAGAAAGCGATATTGATTCAAAGCAACAAAATATAATAAATGAAATTTACGGTACGCTTGCGTAAGTTGATTTCCTTTATAAGTTTAAACATTAGAAACAAACATTACAAACAAGACATTTAAACATTAATCACTCCTTTTAAATATTTTTTATTCAATTGTAATTAAATTATTTAATTAAAAGCAATTAAATTTAATTTTTCTCTGCTTCTCTTTAATAAAAATAAATTGAAATTTTAGACTTCTCAATAGAAAAATACGTAGATTAATTCGTTATAAAATAGCTTATGGCTCATAATGCGAAATGTTTGCCTTTACTATAAAATTAAATAATATAAAATAATAAATAACTATTAAAAAGAATTTCATGATATTTTCTTTCAGTAAACGAGTTTTATGAGTAAATGGTTTTCGAGTTTCAATTGCGCATTGAGCCTTAAAGATATGACAAAAAACGCAAAAAGCGTAATTAACTATAATTAGAGCAAACTTTCACACACTCTCTTGACTAAACTTTTAGGACCACAGTTTCTAGATTGCTGCTATCCACCATATATTAAAAATAGAATTCCAAATATGTAAAAAATATTTTTTTCGAAGTGTTTGTCGGAATTAATGCTCAAAAAATTACATTAATAGACATACGTCTAATATATTTACTACACAATTTCATACTTATTTAAATTATTACTTTTTGCATAAACTGAAAACTGAGATGGGCACAGTAGGCCTTGGCCATCTAGGGCTGTCGCGCCGCTGAGTTTAGTTTACTTTTAGCTTGGACAACTTAAACGTGTCCAGAAGAAATGCTTCTTGCAGTGGATTCCCGCCCATGTGAACCTTGAGTTCAATGAAATAGCTGATTCCTTGGCTAAAAATGCCAGAAATCTCAATCAAAATACAATCCCAACTACGCTGGCAGATGCAAATGTTTTTTCAAAGTCAAGACTATCCCCCCCTTAAAAATCAAGGCCCACGATCAAATAACTAATCTTGACATCGACAGAAAGATAGCCACCACTCTCACCAGACTAAGAACAAAGCATCATAAAAACATGAAAATCTCTGCTGATGGGACTAGAAAATATCAAAACTGTGGCAACTGTCTTAATGTGGAACTCACACCAAATCATGTTTTTAGATGCCCTGCAGTCGCTGCAGGCCTTTACCTCTTAAACTACTCTACAGAAGAAGATTTATATTCATTTAATGCCATAGAGATAGCAAAGACTATTCAAGACCATGAGATATGATTCAATAGAGGATACGAAACCAACCACTAAGTATAGTATATTTAATAAAGCGTATTTAAAATACCTAAGTACATAAAATAATTAAAAATACATAAAATATTCAGTAATGAAAGCATTTAAAATATATACTGAATTGTATACTAAATAGTTGCGCAAATTACCATGAAAATTTAGAAAACAAAACATGCTTAAAGTTACGTGGCATTTCCTATTCGTGGTTTTGATGCAGTACATTTTTTGCATATGACGGGGTTTTTTATATGCCCAATCGTATCGTATCAATGTAGCAATAGAGACTGATTTTATCGTATGCTGTCTACTCGATCTATCTGGCCTATTTTCAAATATGTTACGGCAATTTCACGTTGAAAATACTTCATTGAAATCTGCTTCTTACTCTCTTTTTTGTGAAGAGCTTTATGCAAAATGTAAACTTTAACTACTGACATGTATATCATTTTTGTAAATAAACACCAATATCATTTTTGCCCCTTATAGATATATTGAGCTTTTCTAAGAACCAGTCATGCTGAACCCTATCACCCATGAAAGTGTTACACTCACGTATGATTTTTGATTAAAGCACAGGTACTCCTTCCTTTTTTTACTTTGCACCACGACATTGTTTGCTTCACAAGATTTCTATTCCGAAATTCGTTGCAATTTTAACTGATTTATGGCCATTCCATCCGACTCCTGCTCATTAACCTCATTAGGAATTGAAACGATATCTGCCTCAACTTGTTCAAAGAACAAATATTCCTGAGCTTCCTCTATTGCATTGCATTGAATTTTTAAAGAAAATTAAGGTGATTTGAAAAACAAATACAGAGTGAATTAATTTCCTAAAATAAAGGAAATAATATTTAAAAAATGTCTGCTATTTTTTTAATTCACTTATTCCATCACAATACAACCATATATGCATAATTAAATGTATAAAGACAAATTCTAAAAAAAACTTTAAAATTTGCCTAAAGCGCCCTGTGTCCTCAATTGAGGACAGTAAAATATAATGTTATATGAAAAGAAAAGAAATTGTAGAAAACAAATTTATTTAGCGTTATATGTAGAATTATATTCTTAAGAAAAAAACTGTAATAAATAAAATAATTTGTCTTAATTTTCTCTGAAATGACTGTATAAAAAGGAAGAGGGTTGTGCGAGTCTAGAAAACTCACAAAATGGCGACCCTAATAACAAACCAAATATAGCAGCAAATTTATTAAAAATATGGCGGATATGTTGATAGTTTGATCAACTATCTTCCCAGAAGAGAAAAATTATTTTTAAGATAAAAAGAAACGTTTTGCATAATGTTTTATTGACTGTCCTCAATTGAGGACAGTGAGTTTAATGGGTTAGGTACTAAAAAGTTTTTGATAAAATTAAAATTTTTACCAGTTAGTATATTTTCTTTTTGAGTTTCAAGTTGTTAATTTTTAAAAGGCGAATAATTTTTTGATAAATAAGAAGCTAATGCTCTTGATTAAAAAAATTTCAGAAAAATAAAGAAAATAATTTTTTGATATAAAAACAGACGTCAAATAAAAAATATTTCAGAATAAATTTTATTAACTAATTACGGAAAAGTAACATATGCTGAACAGTTCATAAAATTAGCGAAACACTTTCATAATTCTGAAATAGATAGGTTTTACCTATATATATTATACTAATAAATATCTGCGCAAAGAATACTTTACAGTATATTGACTTTTCCTTTTAAAAATCATGTTTATTTGATAAATAATTTAGATACTTGAATATGTCATATTATTCTAAATTCTAATCTTAGAAACATGATTAAACAGCTATGAACGAAGAATGCATTTTGTAAAGAGTAGGAAATGGAAAAATGATTTATTGCTAAATCAGTTGTTTCAATTGATTCATTAATTAAATAATAATGGCCTAATAGTTTATTATGTTTATTCATATGGCTAGGCACAATGGAAAGAGACTAATCCCTATGGCAGTAAGTTTGATCATATTTTAAGAATCATGACTGATAAATAACTTAAACGTGACACTTTGTCTGTACCTTTTGTATAAAAATGATACAATTTTGAGATTTTTACTAAAATAGTTTTGAGATAGTAACCTATTTTAAAGGTAAGTGTATTGCTTAATAGCTTAATTTCAATTACATTAGATTTTTCAATATTTTATATTATAGCGATTCATAAAATTTTTTTAGCTGTTATTGTAAATGAAATTCTTAAACTGTGAACTTTTTTTTTTTTAGAACTGGTATCCGAATATCTATCGCTAATCAAATGAAATATTATAGAAATAGGTGAATTATAAAATAGATTCGTACAGAGTTAAGAGAAAATGTAAATATATTCAAAAAGTAGGGTTGAATAACACTACAAAGTGAAGCTCAAAACTTAAAAACATTTACCAAGACGATAAACAAAGCTAAAATAATTTCATTTTTTTATTCGTTATTATGTTTTATATTTTCTGGTGGCTTTACATTATTACAGTAATCAAAATACGTTCTTAATAATTTACAACATCAAAATAAAGATTAACTGAATTTAGTATAATTTGGTATGAAACTATTGCTCGGTGTTAACTCATGATAATCGAATTTGACCAGTACAAAGAAATCTTGATTTTAGTAAAATTCACTGCACAACTAATATTAACTTAAATTTCGTAAAAATTCCTGTACTTACCTATTTTGAAGTGGCGCAAATAACTTCTTTCCGCGATATCAGAAAAGCGAAATATTTTTGCAGTTCTATAATCTGTACCAAATAAACTAATATAATACTTTTTACCTATATTACTTCGATACCTATTAAAGCTTGGACAAACTACACGGTTAAAACATTTTGGTAAAATTATCGCACAGTATAGTAATAACTTTTCTAATAAAGAAAAGCATATTTTTACCTTATAAACGTAAAATTTAATGCATCTAACCTTTTTTTGATACATTTTAAACACATTAAAAGTCCTTTAATATGGTAACGGCTTACCGGAAATTCTGGTTTTCAAAATTGCAGTTATTATTACCCAACATTTAATAATAAAAAAAGCGAAATTTAATCGAATAAATGCTTTTAATTCCAGGGTCTAAGGTATCATGATAAAATTAGAAAGTTTTACCACATTTACCAAGTTCAATAAAATATTGTAAAGCCATATTTTATTGTAAATATTACCAAAATCATTTCCGAAGCACTTCAATAAAATTTGCTGAGCTTTTTGATGCTCCCATAGAGAAACATGGTTAACTTTACCATATCCTGGCAATCATGATCATGCTTTCTTTTTTCTCAGTGCGACACATTATCTAGACCAATTACTGTTACACCAGTAGAGCTCATTATCAAAATATGCGGATTTTTTGGGCACGTCCTAAACGAATTCGTATCATTTTTCCATTAATTTTGCGTTTTAGTTAGTATAGATTATTTTAATTAGCTATTATTACTAAAATTAACTAATCATCGTTGGCATCAATAATAGTATTGTGATGTTTTACGCTTCTTTCAAACAAATCAATATCATTTCCTCATTAATTTTGCTTTTCAGTAAATAACTTTTGTATTTCAATGGTACTTTTTTGCATTTTTATTTCAATAGTAGATATCAATAAAATTAATCATCATGGACTTCAATAATAGCATGGAAATTTTTAACTTTCGTCTTAAGCGAATAATATTATCTCTTTATCAATTTTGCTTTTATAAAAACACGATTTAAGTCCATAACTACAAACTAAATAAACACTTGGTCTCAGATAAGTTTAGGACTACTAATTTTGTGACGAAGTCTTCGAATGCTTCCGCTTAAGTTTATCTAACATAACGAATAATATGTAATTAAATATTAAAAAGCGAGCAATAAGCTCCTTTTTCATTAAGGAGAGCTAGGAGCTAGTTAACATCAATGATGTCATCTTTTAATATTTTTAATAAAACAGAATCATCTGTTGTTTAATTTGGTTTAATTTAAAGCAATGGCTAATTGACAAGGGAACAATGATAACCAATACAAATATTCCATTTTTAAACGTGTCTCAAGAATGATCTGCTTGAAATTTGTGAACAATATTTAGGATTGGATTTCCCTTTCACCGACTTTACAGCCGGTGTAAAAGGCAATTAAAGGCGTTCTGTAATAAATTACAAAATGGTCGTATGAACCGTTTTGGAGTTATGAGAGAGACGCACAGATAAAGGCAAACACAAACTCTTAATTTTATTATTAAAGATTTTAAGGTTACGATACAAAATGTGAAAAAAAATTTTGATTCATTCGAAATATGTATAAGGCTGCATAACCTTCTATAAAATTAAAAATAATTCTTTTCAAAATGAACATATTTTTCTTAAATATTACCCCAATATTTATAAGTCAACAAGCGAAGGTTATAAAAAGATGTTTTATTTACCTTCGAGGTATCACAAAATTCAAGCAAGATGAGGATAGAAAAGATAGTTTTTCAGCTCAAAAAGCGATACTTTTATTGACTTATAAAGTATGTAATAGAAAGTAGAAATAAATCCAGTCGTGCTATCTCGACGGTTTTTCATGCATAGAAGTTGTTTTGGGCAAAATTTTAAAAACAGAGCTCGTAATTTTCTCTGTAAAGCCGTAAGTTGTTATCTGTGTTTTGGCATAATTCTCCGACAGAAAAATATAAAAAAATGGGGCCCATTGGCGTTAAATCGCGTAATCTTCTAGGAGAAAAAAAATTCTGTAAAATTACTGCATTGCAATATTAATGACATTTCTGAAAGAAAAAAAACATACTTTTAGTCAATGAAATCAAAATATACGGTAGTTAAGCAATATATTGGGTAATTTTATGGGTACGTGGTGAACTTTGTGACTCGGTAGCTTTAACGATGAAAAGTCACCATTTTCTACATGGGGAGTCTTCAGTTGGATCATGAGAATTTTGATTTAAATAGTACATTTCATTTTTAAGAAAAATCCATTTCGTTTTTAAGAAAATTCCTTTGATTGAAATGAAAACAGAAAATTATGCGATTGCAGCTCAAAATTTTTGCAACTGTTCAACAAAATTTAATTCTACTATGAAGATAAATAGTGTTCTGTTTATTTAGCTTACTAACGTAACATATAATAGGAGTTCGGGCAGATTTTTCACGACTCATTTTTTCGGTATATTTTTCTTTTTAAATTACAACCTACCATTTTGAATATTTTACAAATAGGCATGCTAAACCATTTTCAGTGTTTTAGCTAAGACTTAAATTCTGAATAGTAAAGGAAATCTTAAAAGAATTTTTAGCGTCAACAAAGTCACTACGCAGACTGTGGTACAAAGTCATCACCTCGAGTGATATGACTTTGGACCGTAAAATTTGTCTCATAAGAACTTTAATATAGTTACAGTTAAATCTCTTTACGCCCAATGAAAATATTTAATTCCAATGAGCATTTGAAGTGTTAGGTAACATTAAAAGGAAACTAGTAAATCACTTTTAAAGCTCTAGTTAAAAGCTATAGGACGCATTCTGACTGAAAGAGATATTTTGAAGCTTTAAGGAATATTCAGACTGAAGAGAGAGAGAGAGAGTGGGGGAGAGAGGAAATACCCTAAAGCTATAAAAAATATTCTAGCTGGGGTGTTTACAGGGATGCGAAAAATAGCAAATTGTATTGAAGTATATTTTTGAATAGTTTTAATAATGAAGTCTTTCACTTGAATATTTTTGCAGGTTATTATTCTGATATTGTAAATCAAATTTTAAAATCGTAGAATCAATTCAATTCAATGCTTATACAATAACTAGTTTTATACAATTGTCCTGTTTTGAAAACGGAATAAGCTTGATTTCAAGAAAACTAAATTCTTATTGAATTTATATTTGAGTTTATATTTTAATGAAAAAAAATCTAAAATATTAAGCAAAATTTTTGTTTATATAAAGTATCAGTGTAAATTTCACATAATATTTAATAGGTCGGAAAAAAACAGCGGAATAGACATGTATAAGGCTATCTTCTTGGTTTTTGCTTTGCTCCACATTAGTAATGCCATTGTCTGCAGCGAAAATAATTGTGCCATAGTCTACTGTAATAATATCCGGTGTAAGAAAGGCTCCATGCCAGTATTCGTAACTTGCAATTGCAGTATAACTTGCGAAAAAGTGCTAGGTAAGCAAACTTAAGTTATTTATCATTTTTCTTAATAAAGTATGAATTATATTTTTTGCTTTGTATTCTTTTAAAATAAAAAATTTTAAATGAGAAAGAATTTCTTTGATGAACTTTATCTATTGGGAAATCATACAAACTGGAACGTGTTTGAAAAAAATTGACTTAATTCAAAGTTGTAAAAGTTACAAATTGTATTTAAGAACATGAACTCCGTTTGAAAAGTGCTTATTAAAATAAAAAAAAGCTCAAAATGTACTTCATAAATGGACATAACACAAACCACAAAATCATATTTAGAACTGAATTTAAAATTTCATGTGAAGCCCTGAGATCCTTAGCTTAATATTACTAGCTCAATATTTTCCTTAAAAGCATTAGCACTTATTAGGATGCATTGAGCCAATCAAAAGCTTATGTTATAATCAGTGGCCGAAAAAACTACTTTTTCTACGTAGTTAACTGCAACTACTTTATAACAATTGTAGTTATCTACAACAATTTTGTTTTAAATGTAGCGACTACGAACTACTTCTAAAATGCTATCACTACTTCGCTACTTTTAGAAGACTAACATAATTATAGAATTAAATTTTCGTCGATATTCAAAATGATTTTGAATAACAAATAGGCTTATTTAAATATGAGAAGATATTAAGAAGTTTTATTTCATGTTTACATGGAAAAAAAAATTCTAAATCACTTTTTACGAATTTGTTCTTTTAACCCTCAAACTCTATACTTTTCTCAACAGTGATTCAAGAAATGCAAGGAAATTATCAAATATTAGAGTTTTAATTGATCAAAAACTTTTTATACCCTCCAAGAAATTAAGTACAGGGCGAATGATAAAAAAACGGAACACCCAGAATAACTTTTGATATTATGATCGGATCCTCGCGTTCTAGAACTCAATCTTAATGGTTTGAGGGAGTAACCGCAACTATGCAGACGATATTTTTAAGTTACGAAATCAAATACAAAAACTTACTTTATAGTTCCTGTGAAATCGAATTTTAAGAAAAGTCAGATATTTAAAATTTGATTTCTCAGGAACAATTTGATCCATTTCGCACTGATTTTTCCGAGCATCAGACGTAGATCTTACTGAATCTCGGTCACAAAGTTATTTTCATTCCGTAAGTCGACGGATCAGTGAATCAGATCACTTATATAAGAAAATTTTTTTGCTTTCGAACTTTGTTTCTTTATTTAACTAACGGTAAAAGTAGTTGCCAGAAATCGCTGCCAACTACTGTTTTTTTTTGNTTTTTAATTTTTTTTTTTTTTTTTTTTTTTTTTTTTTTTTTTTTTTTTTTGTCTCGCCCTACTCGCTATACTACTTTACATAAAAGTAGAGCACTATACTAAAAACTACGGAAAAAAGTAGCGACTGCAGTAGTTTTGCTGCCTGTAGGGCACTACTTCAGACCACTGGTTATAATAAGGAATTCTCGGAATAATTTCTCCTTTTAAATTTCAAACTCTTATTACTGAATTAAAAAAACTAAAGTCGGGACACTTTTAGCGTGCAAATTCACCTACAGGAAAAATTCATAAGTTAAGCGAAATTTCATTTCTAATTATAATATTATTTGTTAGGGAAAATATGAAAAGAGAATTTTAGTATTTTGATAATTTATGGACGTTTAAATGTAAACAGTAAAATTATTCCAAAACCATATCGTATTCTTAAATTTTCTCGGTGTATTTTTTCACTTGTGTTGTACTTATGAGGTTATGTGTGATCATCTTTGATATAATAGAAAATTTTATTATTAAAACATTATTTAAATTTTCACTCAATTTACTCATTCTTAAGTTTTTTTCTGCATTTTGTAAATAATAGAAAGTCTTGAGTTCATAGCAGAGTAAAGGAGTGCAAGGTTTGCTATGTTTCGAGAGTTGTCTTCAATATTTTATGTTTTCATCTAAATTTAAATATTTAGTGCACGAGAAAACGAAATACTCAGGACACTTTTGGCCTAATGATTGATTTTCACTTACTAAAACTGAATATTATTGGTTCGAGATGATGACCTTAAGTAAATTAATTAGGGCTACAAAATTATACACAAAAACGTAATTTCGCTGAATAAGCATATTTATTTCTGCGGATTTGGGTTTCAGTACCTCAAATTCAAGGACGTACCAGCAATCTAAGAAATATAGTCCTAACAATTTGGTCCGGAGAACTGTTCAAAGTTTAGACCGACTAATATAGCAATTTTGCGTACATTACCCTATCTCGAGAAATTTTTCAGCATATAAAAAAATTTGCTCACAATTGTAAAATCTGTTAATCCTAAGATAATTACATGCAAAAAATCAATTTTACTTATTATTTATTGTTCTATTTAATATTAGATTTTCAAAATTTTTGAATTGTAAGGTATGCAGCTTCTTACATTATTTTAAGGAATGTAATTTTAAAAGGAATCAGCCAAAATTTGGCCGAAATCGGTAGAATAATTCGTGAGAAATTGAATTTCAAAATAAAACTTTTTACTTGATTATTCGGGAAATATTTGACCGATTTTGTTAAAATTTTGTATTTTGGCAAATGAAATTAAAGTAATAATAAAAAATTTCGATACATTATAACTTAAAATTTTTTCGACTATTATTACGTAAAATTATAAAAAATTCTAAAAAGCAAATAATGAATAATATTATTTTTTGCATGAAATTGTATTAAGATAAAAAAAATTTTTAATTGCGTGCAAAAATTTTTCAATTCGTTCAATAACTTCTGGAGAAAGAGCAAAATATGCAAAATTATAATAATATTAAATAGTCCAAACTTTTGTCCGCTCCCCTGATCTAACTATTGAGACCATAAGTCCCAGATTGTGGGTGCTCCCTACATTTCTAAGAACGAAAATTAAAATTCGTTAAAAAAAAAGACATATTTATTCAGAGAAAGTGCACTTTTGAGTCTGGTTTCATAACTTAAATTATCGTTTACATTTATTTATTAGCATATTTGAGGTCACCCCCTCAAATCTTTGAGATTGAGTCCTAGGACATCAAAATTCAGTCATCAGATCAAAAGTTATTCCGGGTGTTTCGTTTTTTTTTTTAGTACTGTACTTACAAATTATAAAGTAATAATAATAACAGTGGTAAATAGCGCAAGTCACAAATATTGTAGACAGTACAAATACCATAACATTATGGGATGGCATTTTTTTTCAAACTTAGATGTAAAAATAACTCGGAAGTTATTACTTAGAAATCTTGCTAGCAGTTATAACTGTTAGCACCAACTGTTAACACCAATTTACCTTGATGCTGTTTACCTTCCATACACAAAAAAAATAATTGTTTATAATTTAATTAAAAAGAAATACTAAGAAATATTTTCCCTAAGAACAGAATTAAAAGATTTCATAATTTAATCTTTAAAAAGTTTTTGTTATCTTAACTAACAACAATCCCATTCAATAATTTATGCTAACTCAATAAAATGTTATCCTTTTTCTTTTATTTTATATTACAGATGTAGGAGAGAAATGTGAGGACGACTACTACCTAGTGGGAAACAACCCTAGTGGAAACGGGGCATATTCCAATGCTGCAGCAGCTGCTGCTGCTGCCGCTAATGGTTATGAAGCAGCTGCCGCAGCAGCAGCAGCAAGTGCTGGAGCAGGTGCAAGTTGTAGTACCATACCACGAGTAAATTATAGTCATCCACGTTGCGGACCTGGTTTGGTTTGCAGCTATTCGTACAAAGATCAATACCGCAGATGCCTAATCAAACCATAGAAGTCCAAATACGTGCACAATAGATACCTTCAAAGATGCATTCATCAATTTTTATAAAGTATCTCCTCAAAAAAAATGTGCGTACACCTGAATAAAGTAAAAATGTTTAAAAAAATTTATATATAGTTTTCATTTTATTTATAGAAATCTGCTTCAGCTTTTGTACAAAAAAAAATATTTCTGACATAAATTTTTAAACCTGTAAGAAAAGTGATGTTGTCTAGAGTCCCTGTAAGTCGTATGATAGCCCTGTATGACAGCTTCAAAGATATCTGCCATAGAGGTTAAGAAAAAGAAATATAACTAAGTCGGGTGAATTTTTTCGATCCGATTTTTTTTCTTTTTACATTATATCCTACTCTACTCGACATAGGCTAATTAAAATCAAAGGAAGGGAAATTATTTTATTTGGAAATTCAAATACGTGCTCTAAAAATCAATTACCATTACCATGTCAATAGTGGATTTGAAATTGCCTTCAATGCTAGTTCAGAAAAACGAACAGTAAAGTTGCTAACATTTGTGCAGAAAAACAAAATGCTAAAAGGAAATAACGAAAGGAAATACTTCACTTATTTACACATGGTGGAGAACTTTTTGCTGAAACTAACCAGCATTTGCGTTACACGGAGAGGAAATCCACGAACACTTCCTACGGTTAGCCTGACGGCAAGGAGATATTGTAAGATATTTTACGTCATCACTACGGTCGGTGTGAGCCGGGCGCGGATTTCGTATCCACCAGACAACTCTGGCATTCGACCCCGTTCACCTTATTGGGAGGCGAGTGCACTATCCCCTAAGCCACCANATAAGTTACAGATAAATAATACTGCAAAAATTAAACCCAACCCCATGTTACTATAAATAACCTGGCTAAAACTTGTTCATCAAAAAGACTATTACATGGGCTGTTAAGTAAAGAATTAAATTATATTATATTCCCTTTGTATAAAATAAGATTGTGTTTCTACCACTACAAAAATACAATTCAAATTCACTAGTATATAAGACATGTTAACTCGATTCTATGGTGGGGTATCTTTTCATAGATGAAGGTTGATATTGTCGATAACAGCTAACCCCACATTTGTGACCTCCGGACGTGATGTGAATGCGCCTACCTTGGCAATAACGCCTACTTCGAACTGAACTTCGATGGATGGTCCACTTTGAACAGTTGACTTGCTACCAGGACGGCGACATTATCCACCTCTTCACGCTGTTGCTACTCAGTCTCGACAACACATAACGTGCAACGTATTCTCTCGACTGCCAAAGGCTACACAGAAGTGACCACGACCGTGAACTTAATACAGCTCTCACGATCAGCACGTGAAAAGTATGGTGATCTTAATACAGCTCTCCCGGCTTTTCACAAAACAGCAATAAATCAACTAGTGGTATCCGTGCATCGAATTCTATCACAGATATAATTCTGGTGGGGGATTACTGCAGCGTTTCTACCAATACAAAAATGCAATATGATTTTACTAGTATATATAAGACATGTTAACTCGATTCTACGGAGGGATACTTTTTCATAGATGAAGGTTGACATTATCGATAGCTACCATCACCACAAGATAAAAAATAAAGTAATTGATTTAATTCAATTATAACAGGATTAGAAAGGATTCAGAATAATTAATTTAATGAAATTTAAGAGCTAGGAAATGTGTTATTCCTATAATGAAATCACAACAACTTTTAAAGCACAGTTAGTTTATTTCAGATACTAAAAACTGTCTGTGTTCATTCGCTACGTCTGCACTTCAATTAATGTGTGTTTCCCGAAATAAAGATTAATATGTTCAATCTGAACAAATATATTGCGCATTTTATTATAAAATTACATTTTTATTTAATTCTTATACAAAGAGACTTCTGTTAAGTATGACAGCTGATCTTTTTGAATTTTCACATAAGAGGTAAGATTTTATAGCGTTTTTTGTTACAGAAATTTTAAATTTCTAAGGAACATACTTGCGTTTATTATACTAAGATAAATAAGTGTCAAAAAAAATTCCAATTCTTTTGTTAAAAATATCTGACAGTTAAAAGCTTACTATTTTAAACTGTAGTTTATATGTGTCGGTTTCAATTAGATTCCAAAATTTTATATCTGATGACTTATATTAATAGTATAAAAACTGTAATAATCAATTTAATTGATGCTATACCTCCAAAAATATTCTGCTTTTTTAAAAACCTTTGTTTTAACCGAAAAATTAAGTTCCTTTTATTGTTAAATTATCAAAATACTATGTTGTTTAATTATTCCTAATATTTATTAATCTAATAAAAATAATTTTATTTCTTTGATTGTTTTTTCGAAGTTTTTATTTAGTTATTACATGTAATTTATATACCCAGTCAAACGTCTTAACAGATTTAACAAATATTTTATGATATATAATAAATTTTTATCCCTATTTTCTTTGAAAAATTTCTTAAAAAATCAATGACTGTTCAAAAATTTATATTTCCCCCATAATTTCTAACTTAATGAAAAAGAAAAAGATTATTTTATTTCACATAAAAATTTTATAGACAGTCATATTCTTTTAAGGAAATTCAAATGTATATTTGATTATTAAACCTAATTTCAAAAGTTAATTAATATTACAATTTATTCAGTCTTCTAATGTGTTATCAACGTACCTTCAGTTAAGCGTAATTCTAAAAATCTCTCTAAGGTATTTTACAAACTACAACCTTCTTAAAAAATTCCTTGAATGAAATTAATGACTATTAAAACTTAACAATGGCTTAAAACCTGTGTTGATTAACAATGAAAAAACTACTATTACTTGAATATATATCAAGTCTTAAAATAATGCTTTGAACTATAAAGTTGTATTTTGCTGTTTCTAGAAATCAACAGTTGAGAATGCTTAGAATACTAGTTGTTTTACTGTTAGTAAACTTTGCATTAGTAAATGCTAATTGTACAATTTTCTGTGGCAATTATACTGGTTGCCCGCCACTGAAGTGTGCTGATAATGAAAAGGCACTGCGTACAGGATGCAGCTGCTGTAAAACATGCGTTCCAATCTCAGAATTGGCAGGTAAGTATGATTCAATGAGAATTTATTTATGTTGTTTCTTACAGTTTTAGAGAAAAAGAAAATTTTTCGTTCTTTTGCATTTGAATTTGAATTATTTTAAGGATGTATTTTTATAACATTCGCAGAAAAGTATATTCATAAATGAACCATAGTGCTAATTAAATAAATAAGTGGTATACTTTGACCTATGTAAGCTTACTTATCAAGAACCATTGACGGCTCACTATCACATCGGATAACCTTTCATCCTATTCCTGAATCAAAGGATAACTGCCGTTTGTACACTGCTTACCGTGACTTAAAAAATTGTTTTAATAATAAAATCCACAATGGAGAATTCATTTGTTTTAAAGCTTTTGCAGTTAACAGCAAATTATCTTGCAATACTTTTATTTTTGTCGATAAGAAATTTAGCACAATGAAAAAAATTATAAAAACTCTCTAATTCAAAGTTTAATAATTCGATTGTTTTACTTTTGTGTCAGTTCACGCAGTTCGGTTCATGCTCTATCTTATTTAAACTGTGACACAATTCTTTGCACCTATTGGCTAAGCTACTGGAAACTAAACTCAGTTGCACGACAGCCCACAGAGTGCCAAGGCCTACTGTGCCCATCTCAGTATTCTTGACCTAGGGCTCTGGGGTGCCGGAGCAGATTTTCCGGTCAGGTGGTCAGCCGAACGCAGAACCCCCAGTGTTTAGTTCGCAAGCATGCTTGGTACTCTTTCATAGACCCACTGAAGGGATGAAAGACTGAGTCAATCTTGCCCGATCCGAGGATCGAACCCAGGACCTGTGGCACCTGAGTGCGAAACGCTAACTCTCAGCCACCGGGCGTCATACCGATTGGCTAGTATGTTATAATCTATACATATAACAGTAAGTAACAAACATATAATTTAAAGTCGATAACCATCTTCAATATGAAAAATACTCTAATATGAAAAATACTGATTCTAATATGAAAAATACTGAGTGGAAAATTCTCCTTCTCTTATATAGAGTCCCTACTAAGATCAGGTGACGACTCTTTCCTCTCATCTCACCCAATAAACTTCAGGCTAGTGTCGATGACATCTGCGGGGAGTCAGGTTCCTAACAATCTTTTTAGCTTAGAATCTCTCCTACTTTGTCAAGATTCAGATAAAATTTTATTTTAAGGTCATTTCTTCCCCTGTATAGGAATTAAATTTTACAAATCTTAAAAAAGATATAGCTAATATACTAATAGGTGGGATATGTACGAAATTTCTTGTTAATATGATCTTGACTAAGTCTGTGAGATCAAAGTGATCATCAACTTATACCTAGAATTAGGCTTCAAAATCAGGATATTGAACGATATTCTATTGCCCGACATAGCTAGAACATCTGTAACAGGTTTCAGTTTTCTTTTGCTAAAATTATTCAATACTGATCTTCAGCCACTCACTTTGATTTCTGGGAATCATTTTGTGTTTTGAAAAATTCTAAGAATTTATTTAATGAACCCTTCTAATCTTCATTTCTTTGTGTCTTTTTCAATCTAATCCTATAAATTAAACCATCTTTTCTTATTTCACCCTGTTTTTATTTTTTTCACGTTACATTCTATTATAATGTGTTTGGAAACTGGTGAAATGACTTTGGATTATAGGACCAAAATTGAACCAAATAGCTCAAATATGTTTGCAAAGGATTAGCAAATAAACCATGCACAATGTTAAATTTAACCATGCTAGTTAATGAGCTAGGAGATTTATATTAAACAACTCTTTTACTTCGAGATTAACTTTGCTTTTACAAAACAAGGCTAGAAAAACCTTCCCAAATCAAGAGTAGAAAGCTCACACCAATGATAAATTCGCCTTTCTAAAATCTATCTTGGACTTTATGGCCATCACTGTAATTAGGTTTATTTACACAGGCTTTTGCATACTTTTTTTAACACTTTAAAAGTAAAGGTAGCCTTGATCACTAAATTTTCAACACAAACAAAAGGCTGTTTAGACAATAATACAGTAAAAAAAAATCAAAACATGGTTTATAGTATCTGTAAATAAA